GAGAACCAAATGGAACAGAAAGAATAAATGTCCTTAGCCTGGTTGCGGGGAACCAGAATAGCTTCCAGATGGCGTCCTGAACTCTACTCTTGGACTGGTCACAGTGGTAAGTCCATGTAAACAGCTGCCCCAGTGGCTGTCGCTTCTTCAATACCACAGCAGTGTCAAATTACCATAAGGACATGTTACCACGGCTATCAGAGCTAACCAGAATTCAGATACACTGCTTCTGTGCCTTGCCAGAGCAATTCATTTCTCTGAGGCCCTCTTTAAGAGGGGGTTCAAGCCAGCAGGTGGCATGGTGATTAAGGGTGCTGGACTCCCACATGGCCAACCATGTTTTAAATCCTGGACCTGGTGGCTTGCTTTCTCACTTTCTCTCTCTCTCTCTCTCTCTCTCTCTTTCTGGTCAAATTAAAACAAATAAAAAGTAAAATAATAATGATTTTTTCTTTAAAAAGGTGGGGTTCAAAAAGTTCTCGAGGTGGCGTAGTGGTTAAGGACGCTGAACTCCCACATGGCCTACCACAGTTTGAGTCCCATACCTGGCAGCTTGCTTTCTCACTTTCTTGCTCTCACTCTTGCCCTGTTACTCTCAGGTCATATTCACATAAGTAAGTAAATAGATAAAGTTAAAATAAAATCATTCTTTGGGAACCAGCAGTTAGTGTAATGGCTATGTCACTGGACTCCCACGTAGTCGACCGCAGTTCGCGTCCCGGACTTGGTGGCTTAAAACTCACGCCGGGCACGTGTGCGTGCGTGCCCAAGATCCGGAGAGGAGAATGGAGGAGAAGGGATTGCGGCGTGACCATTCCCCCTGGGGGGTGATTTCTCGCTTTCTGCCTCTATGTCTCTCTCTGTCTGTCTGGAGAGCGAACACGCCCTATAATGAAAAAACCTTTCCAAAAAAAAAAAGTTCTCGAAAAAGTTAGACGAACATAAGGGTTTATTTTGGTGCAAAAAATGTTTAAATCCATGCATAGGTTTTTCATGATTCCCATTTTTTATGTACTCTTTGAAGACCCCTCACATATTCTACAATAAATGGTTACCTGAGAGAACCACTGAGTGTCCTTACTCAGCACAGGGAAATGGAAAAAGCACAGACCCTAAGTCAAATCATTCATTCAAAAAAACAGAAAGGTAGCTGATACCATGGCAACATGGAGACAGCCTGTGACATTAGAGCAAACGGCAAGGAACAAAGGATTCAGGGAAGTTACCTTTCTGCAAGTCGTCTCTCTTGAAATTTGACACGTGCTGCCTAACTGAACGTGTGCAGGAGGACTTATTTTGGTATTGTTTAGGAATAAAGCAATTAAAGCTTCTCTTGGTACTTTTCTCTAATATATTCCAGGAGATTAGCCAAAGCCATGTGCTGGAAATCTGCTGAGTGCCACAATCTTATTAATATGCAATGAGATTCTATTTCAGACAGCTGGCGATACTGGGCTACCAGTCAGCTAGAGCAAGGATATAACTGTACAACTAAAAATATTTGGAGAAAATGAAAGAGAAGACCAAATAAGCTGAAGCTTCACTCTCCCTTTGAGTTAGAAGTTTAAAGAAATAGTAGTAGAGGAAATAGTATTTAAATGAGAATGGCTTCCCCCAGGTTGGAGTGGAAAAATACCAAGAGCTGAGACAGGAAAGGAGGTCTACAAAGCCTGAGTAAGAGAAGCTGTTACAAGTCTGCCCATCCTCCTCATTCAGCAGCCTCTGCTGAATATTATAAAGGTTTCCTCTGTACAAGGCTGAACTGCTTCTTGTCACAAGTCCCTTCAGGCAGAAACTAGAGGCAGTGTAAGCAATTTGAGTAATGCCTGGCCCAGTTAATCGGATGGGCTGCTCTAGTGTTTTCAAAACTGATTACCAGAGATTGCTGTCTTCAATGTAAAATTATTCTTTTAAAAAGGCAGAGTGTGTACACAAAACTTTAAGGGATAGTATCCTCATTTGTAAACAGGATAAAAACTTTCTATTAGGAAACTTGTGATGCAATAAAAAGACCAGATCATAGCAACTTTCTCTTTTTTTTTTTTTTTGGAGAGGTTTTCGCTATAGGGCGGGTGCGCTCGCCAGACAGACAGAGAGAGATAAAGAGACAGAAAGCAAGAAATCACCCCCCAGGGGAGATGGTCACGCCGCAATCCCTTCTCCTCCATTCTCCTCTCGGGATCTTGGGCACACATGCACACGCACCCGGCGTGAGTTTTAAACCACCGGGTCCGGGACGTGAACCGCGGTCGACTACAGTGGGACTCCAGCGACATAGCCATTACGCTAACTGCTGGTCCCTGTTTCTGAGTTTTGGGTATTTAATACAAGTCACCCATCCATATGTAGTTGAAGGTATATGAAAGACACTTCAACTTAAGGTGATTTAAGTGACATCATTATTCTCTTGTGTTTTCTGAACGGAAAAAATTAGCAGAGGAGATTTCAGAGCAAGAACAGGGAGGGGATTTATAATTCACCTAGATTCTGTGTTGCTATCTCTAGGACATCCCTTCTGCCTCACACCTGACATTTATAGTACCAGAAAAAGTACATGAATGGCCCTGAACAACAGTGAGAGACATTTGGGTTAGACATAGGGGAGAACCTTTAATACTTACAAAGGTATTAAAATAGGCCAGCAAGGTTGGTATGGTGCTTAAGGTGGCTGGATCCCCCATAGCCAACTGTGTGGTTCAAGTCCCAGCCCCATAGGCTTGAAAAATACTCTGGGGGCATACGCATGTGTGCCCAAAATCCTGAGAGGAAAATGGAGGAGAAGGTATTGCAGTGTGGTCATCCTCCAGTGAGTACACATGTGCTATACAAAAACAAAACAACAACTAAAAAAAAAAAAAAAAGAAAGAAATTTGGCAACCTGTTCCTAAAAGAATTCTCTACTGCTATAAAAATGGCATTTATCTTTTGATCAGACTTACTTCTGGTCCTAAAATCTTAGAATACTATTCTAATTACAAGAATGCAACTTTGCCTGTGATTATCTGGTGTGTGTGTGTGAAAAATACACGCATCTGGGTCCTACCTCAGACCTAATAAACCAGACCTTTCCATGGAGGAACCTAGGAATTTGAATCTGTAACTCAGGTGATTTTTATAATCAAGTAAATTTTTAAAACACAGACTTGGGGCTACAGGTGGCATAGTGGTTAAGGTGCTGAATTCCCACATGGCCCACTGCAGTTTCAGTCTTGGACCTGACAAGCAGCAGCTTGAAAATCACACCGGGCACATGTGAGCATGTGCACCCAAAATCCCAAAAGGAGAATGGAGAAGGGACTGCAATGTGGCCATCCCCCCAGGGGGTGGTTTCTTACTTTCCCTCTCTATGTCTGTCTCTGCTGAACGCACACACCCTGTGGCACCCCCCCCCCAATAACCCACACAGATCTAATCCTTGCTTACAGTAATACAAAGCTATTAACCATAGAGAGGAAATGAATGATTCAAAGAGAGGAAACCAGTGAGACTGATGAATCATAAGCACCTCATGACTGAGTTAGGAGAACTAGGATGTTAGGGGGAAAGGTTGAGTCTGTGATTAAAGTGAAAACTACATTCTTGGCTCCACCCTACCTTCACCATCAGCTTGATGAGGCAAGTCCTGCCTCCCTCTACCTCCTTACCCTCCACACACTTACACTTGCAGCAAGACTTTCCCGACAACTCCCGGATGGATCTTAAGTTGCAGATGAGATCAAAGGAGGATCAGAAATGTGGCAGACTGTTTCCAAGAATACAGTTGACACTGCATCCCTGGTTAAAAGACCTAAGCCTCCAAACTGATCTTTTCCCAGACCTGCACAAATATCCAAAATCCAGGCACTTACCCAAACTGGAGAGCCTTTTCATCAAACCAGCTTCTCTGATAGCAGCTGGACCATATTCCACTCCTTTTCTTTTCTGTCAGTCAGACAAGTTACAGCATTAGATGTGAAGAAAGACCACTGGAGAAAAATCACTGTGGTTCACAAAAACACAGAAGTGCACTACATTGCACTTAGTTCTGAAAACCTGTGACAGCGTGCACCAGCCCTTCCATCCAATTGTTCATCAGCCAATTGCAGTGGAGGGAGAACAACCCCATCACTGGCAGTGAACCCCCCTCCTAAGCCCCTTTGTGAGAGGATGAGCACGGCCAAGACAGGGGAGAGGCTGAGCCGGGTTAGGGTCTGGTGGTTGGGGTGTGTGTGTAGCTGGGTCAGGGAGGGCCTCTAGACCGGTGAGCCCTCTTCCCCGACCGCGGGGTTTTCTTTCATTGAAGAGCGAGCACAACAGCTCCTCCGCCCTCCCGCCGCTGGAGAGGGCAGCGCCAGTTTCCTTCGGTGGATCCTGAAACCATAAACCGTCGGCCGCTCCCTTTGACTGCCTCTCTGTCGATTTTCCCCAGGGTTTCTGGCCGGTTTCTCCTCCTCCAGCCCCTCCATAGAATCCTCTCGGTCCGCCCGCCTCCACCACCTCAAGCTGGACCCACCGCGCTCTCGCTCTTTCTGGGGAGGCCCCAGAAACTCTCAAATCGCTGCCAACTGCCCTCATGGCATACAGGGTACCTCCCATCTCCCCTCTCCATCTTCTGTCGGGAAAATCCCATGTGCTCCCCCGGTGCCCAGTCGCCGGGACACGCCAGCTTTTTCCCCTTGCGGTTTTTCCCTCCTCGCCTCCCGGCCTGTCACCCACCGCCGCCTTCTCCAGGCTTTCGGGGCCGGGGGATCCTGGCCCGCGGTGCCAGCTCCCATTTCTCACCTGTCCCTGTGAGAACGGGGCTCCGATCACAGCCACGGAGTGGACGGATTTCTGCAAGGCGGAATGCACTTGCGTCCGGAGGAGACGCGAGAGGTGGCTCCTCAGGGACATGATCGGCAGCGCAGGGAACCGCAGAAGTACAGGCTGTTCCGTGCGGCTGCGGCTCAAAGCCTTCAACAGGCTCCGCCCACTGCTCCCCTGGCCCGGGGCACGCCCCTAGTGACGTCACCTACCCGGCCCGAGCTCGAAGCCGGGGACACGCCCCTGGGGCTGGCCAATAAGGGCGCGGTGAAGGACAGGTGTGTCTCTTCGAGCCAAGCGACCCCGGCCTGCCAAGTTCGCCAACTCGGCTGAACGCAGCGTCTGTTCTCGAGTCTTCACACACAGGCGTCCGCGCCGGGTAGGTGCTCTTCTACGGGAGGGCTAGCTGGGCTGGGCCTGGTATGGCTGGACCCCACATGAGTTCAGCTGCCTAGACAAAACCAGCATTCCTCTGCTCCGTTCCATCTCAAAGCGCAAAGTCCAGGAAACACCTTTTTTTTTTTTTTTTTTTTTTTTTTTTTTTTTTTTTAATTTATTCATTCTTTTTTTTTTTTTTTTAAAGGTTTGTGCCACTGGGTGCGAGCGCTTGCTGGTGAGAGACTGGGAAAGCGAGGAAAAACCTCGGAGAGGGAATGACCACACCTTTTCTCGGGATTTTGGGACACACGCACACGCCCCAGTGTGATTCTCAGGCTGGTGTGTCCAGACTGGAATTTAGGTTAGCCATGTGGGAATCCAGCAGTTTCACTACCAGCACCACCTGCTGTTCCACCCGGAAACACTCTTGCCTCACGCTGGGTGTGTAAGGTTGGGAGATCAAATATAGATTGGACTTGTTAAGTCTTCAGGTTTTCTTTTCTTTCTTTTTTTTTTTTTATTTTGAGAGAGATTTTTGGTGTAGGTCGCGTGTACTCGCCAGAGAGACAGAAAGCAAGAAATCATGGGACCAGCAGTTAGTAATGGCTATGTCGCTGGACTCCCACTTAGTTAACCACGGTTCAAATCCCGGACCCCCGGACCCGGTGACTTAAACTCACGCCGGGCGCGTATGCGTGCGTGCCCAAGATCCCGAGAGGAGAATGGAGGAGAAGGGATTGCGGCGTGGCCATCCCCCCTGGGGGGTGATTTCTCACTTTCTATCTCTCTGTCTCTCTCTGTCTGGTGAGCGCACGTGCCCTATAGCAAAAACCTCTCCAAAAAAAAAAAAAAAAAAAGAAAGAAAGCAAGCAAGAAATCATGGGGATGGTCATGCCTCAATCCCTTCTCCATTCTCCAGGGCTCTTGGATACCCCAGTGTGAGTTTTAAGCCACTGGGTCCAAGACTTGAACCACCATCGATTACCTGGGAGTCCAGCAATGCAACCAGTATGCCATCTGTATCTGCTGGTTCCCCAAGATTTCAGTTATTTTGAATGAGGTTAAGATTTACAAAACAATTGTTTTCTAAATAGATGTTTTCAATTATTTATCTGAATAATGAGATGATTAGTTATTAAAACTCAAATATTACAATGTATTTAAATTTTTATTTAGTTTTTTTTTTTTTAGGTTTTTGCTGTAGGGTACATTTGCTTGTCAGAGATAAACAGCAAAAAACACATGAGAGAGAGATCACCCCCCCACTACCACGCTGGGGGACTGTTACAGCACAACCCCTTTATTCTGCTCTCAGGATTTTGGGCATGCTTGCACATGCACCAGGTATGTTTTACAGACCACCTGTCCTGGAGAACTGGAGCCATGAAGTTGACCATGTGGGATTAAGTAGCTTTAATCACCACACCACTGGCCTGCCAGATATTGTAACTTTTGTTCAGTTCATTGTAATTATCTTGCTATTTTTCTTTATATTACCTATCACCTTATCCAATTTTACCCCTTTATTACGTTTTCTTAAGTTAAATTGGGGGAACCAGCAGTTAGCATAATGGCTATGTCGCTGGACTCCCATGTAGTTGACCGCGGTTCGCGTCCTGGACCCGGTGGCTTAAAACTCACACCGGGCGCGTGTGCGTGCGTGCCCAAGATCCCGAAAGGAGAATGGAGGAGAAGGGATTGCGGCGTGACCATCCCCTCTGGGGGGTGATGTCTCGCTTTCTGTCTCTGTGTCTCTCTCTGTCTGTCTGGCGAGCACACGCGCCCTATAGTAAAAACCTCTCAAAAAAAAAAAAAGTTAAATTGGCAGATTGTGGGGCCAGCAGGTGACATGGTGGTTAAGGCGGCGTTGGACTCCTACATGGTCAACCACAATTTGAATCCTGGACTTGGTGGCTTGATGATCACACTGGGCACTTGTGCATGCATGCCCAAAATCCTGAAAGGAGAATGGAAGAGAAGGGATTATGGTGTGGCCATAGTCACAGGGGGTGATTTTTCATTTCTTCTCTCTCTCTGTCTCTCTCTCCCTCTCTCTATCTCTCTCTCTCTGGAGAGTATAGCATCCTATGGCAAGAACCTTAAAAAAATAAAATGTGTTCACCAGACCAGCAGGTAGAGTGGAGGTTAAAGCACTATATCCCACATGTCTGACTGTTCAGTTTGAATTCTGGACTCGATGGCTTAAAAATCACGTCGGGCATGTGTGTGTGTGCCCAAGGCCCAAACAGGAGAATGGGAGAGAAGGAATCGTGGTATGGCCATCCCCCTGGCAGGTGATTTCTCATTCTTTCTCTTTCTCTAGTGACGCATGTACTCTATAGCAAAACAAAACAAACAAAAAAGCACTTATTCACTCCTTGCCAGTATTTACTGAGTGCCTAGTATATGCAAAGCATTGTTAATAGAGATGGAGACAGATAATAGCTCATCACTGACAGTGCTGATATTCTTCTGGAAAAGACAAAAAAATAAATAGGGGCCATCAGGTGGCATGGTGGCTAAGATGCTGGACTCCTACATGGTCAAATGCAGTTTAAGTCCTGGACCTGGTAACTTAAAAATCATGCCAGGCACATGTGTGCTCATGCCTAAAATCTCAAGAGGAGAATGAAGAAGAGACTATGGGGGAACCAGCAGTTAGCGTAATGGCTATGTCGCTGGACTCCCACATAGTCGACCGCGGTTCCTGTCCCGGGACCGGTGGCTTAAAACTCATACCGGGCGCGTGTGTGTGCGTGCCCAAGATCCCGAGAGGAGAATGGAGGAGAAGGGGTTGCGGCGTGACCATCCCCCCTGGGGGGTGATTTCTCGCTTTCTGTCTCTATGTCTCTCTCTGTCTGTCTGGCGAGCGCATGCGCCCTAC